GTGGGCCTCTCACTGCCGTGGCCTCTCCCGTTGCGGAGCACAGGCTCCAGACGCGCAGGCTCAGCGGCCATGGCTCACGGGCCCAGCCGCTCCGCGGCACGTGGGATCTTCCCGGACCGGGGCACGAACCTGCGTCCCCTGCATCGGCAGGCGGACTCCCAACCACTGCGCCACCAGGGAAGCCCTGCATCCAGGCTTTTTAAAAACACTTTTACTTTAGTTCTTACCATTTCTGTATTAAATTTGCCTCAGCCGCACGGAAGTGTCTGTGCTTCCAGCGAACGCTCTGGGTCTCATGCCTCTGCTCCTCCACCGGTCCTTCAGAATTCCTGTCGCCACCAAGAAGAGCATCCCATGTGCTCCCATGGTCTTCACTTACCTCATTCGTGGGGACCATGCCACTCTATTTTCTGTGTACCACTGAACAGTGAACGCCTTAAAAAAAATGAACTTATGTTGTTTAGGACCTTGGATATAGTAGGTACTAAGCTACTAATATCCTTACCCAAAGTGACACACTACAGACTGAATATCTGCTCAATGAGACATACATTCCTCATTTTGTGGTGGGAAAGATACAGCTATGGCAAGAAAGCAGTGCTCTAACAGTGAGTCAGAATGCTGAGAATCCTTAGACCCATCATGTTTGAGAGTTAGGAGGGACCTTAAAGACCATCCACCTTAAAGACCTTAAAGTGTGTCCCCGAGAAGTCTCTCAGCATCAGGACCGTTTCAGCGTTGTTTATATTCTCTCGTACATATCTCACAAATCTCTGCTACCTAAGCAGCTGAGCCTTTACAAACAGAGCCCACCCGTAAGCTTTCACAGACATAAGAATTATATGCTCCTTACCTATTTTGGGACTTTAGAAACATTGCTGGGTATAAAATGCTTGTTGTTTTATGCTTGATTGATACAACATGGGATAAACTGCCTTGAATTAATATAAACTTTAAACAGTGTAACCTGGAATATTAGTTATAATAAACTTATCAGTTGGTATATAAAAGCATCTTATTATTTTGTGAGGTTTTATTAGGTTGTTAACTAATGTGAAATTGGAGCTTTCAAAGCATTTTCAGCGTTTATCTGCTGTGCTTGGTTGCTGTATCTCCCTATTGTCTTTTGTTTTGGTAGGAGCAAAGTGTTGATATATATATACTGTATTCTCTTGAAAAGAAGGGACCATTTATTGTTTTTTTATCACTTATTCCCTTTACTCTTGTAAAATGTTGAAGGAAGTAATCCAGCTGTTCATTATAAAGATTCACTGCTGAACTTTTCCACCTAGTTTCCCTTTAATATCGAAAAGTAAAGTAAAAAAAAAAAAAAGAAATAATGAATCTGAAATAGCCAGCAGAATATACAGATCCTTTAAAATGGGTCTTATTTTGTCTTAGGTCATGGACACTTTTGAGAATCCGATGAAAACATGTGTTTATGGATGCCGCACTCAACATACTATATACAGTTGTAGTGAGTTCATTGCTCTGTGGTCCCCAAGAGAATTTATAGAACCCAGGCTAAGAAGTCCCTATTTTAGAGAGGTTAAAATGTAAAATCCAGGGGCTTCCCTGGTGGCGCAGTGCTTGAGAGTCCGCCTGCCGATGCAGGAGACGCGGGTTCGTGCCCCGTTTCGGGAAGATCCCACATGCCGCGGAGCGGCTGGGCCCGTGAGCCATGGCCGCTGGGCCTGCGCATCCGGAGCCTGTGCTCCGCAAATGGGAGAGGCCACGACAGTGAGAGGCCCGCATAACGCAAGAAAAAAAAAAAAAAAAAAAAAAAAAAAAAAAAAAAAAAAAAAATGTAAAATCCAACATCATGTGAGAATATTTTATGTGCTGTAATTTAATAGTTTGTTGGTGACAGAGAGAATAAATCATAAAATATATATCACACGTGATTCCTCTTCAGACGACCTGCCAAGAGCAGATGTGTGCATGAGTACCAGCCAAACACATCCAATGTGGATCATGTTTATGAGGGGGGAGCCCAGGTCACAGAGCATTAAGTGCTGAAGCAGAGGCCAGCTGCTTTACTTGAGCTATGATCAAAGCAAAGCAGCTTTCTTAGCACAAGTCAGAGTCAAGATTTCTTTCTTGTAACTTCGTACAATACAAGTTTAGAGTTGAGGTTGAAGGGGGCTTGGAAGTTAATTACCTTCCCAGTGACAAAATCCCCGCCCCTTGTCCCCCATCAGTTACTAACCAGCCTGTGTTTTGAATGTTTCCACAAACAGCATCCCATGCATAGTTCACCTGGTAACTCCTGAACATTTAGATGGTTCTTCCCTGTGTTGAGCTGAAGTCCTGTCCTTATCTTGTCCACCTCTTTGTCCCTATTGTATTTATGAAGGCTGCTTCAGGTGAGATGACATTACTAAAAATTACTGAACTAACCAGTTTATATAAGTACTGCAGTTTTTCTTTAGTCAAATAAAAATGTTGTTGATGCTTCAGCAAGTACTCCATTTCAATTAGATATCAAAGAGTTATTTAAATTGTATAATTTGAAAGTGCAATCATGTGTTTGAAAGTGCTTTATAACCTTAGAGCATTCTACAAACATGTCCTTACTATTATCATTGTCTGAAAAAGAACCAACTAGAGCTAACTCCATTTATCATAGGATAATTTAAATATAAATATAATACCTTAAAAGTAAATAATACAGGAAGATTCTGATAACTGAAAATAAATGTGGCACATACAACCTTATTTCAGAGTAATAGGAAGCAGACGATATCTTAGTGAGATGTCTGATTTTGTAAAGAACTATACTTTAATAATTTCAAGTTGTCATGTAATTTATCAGTCAATATATGTAGCTTAAGACAAGAGGAGACAAGTAAAAATCAGTTTATAGTACAACTGTGTTGACTAATGAATCATACAAAAATAATTGATGAACCCACAAATTGAATCTCTACCTTTTTTTTGTTTGAACAAAAATGACCCGTTTTAACCTCAACTACAAATAAAACTTAAAATCCTGAGGAAGAAATTATTGTAAAAAGTTTTTAAAAGATTCATATACAGAAGAATAATTATGAGAAAACAGAATTCAAATGACCAGTGTTTGGTCTTGTTTAGGGTGATGATCTGCTGGGTCCATCTCCCATGAGGACAAAAGACAGGATGGCCTTATAGTTTTTTCATCTCAGGGATTTGTGCTTTATGTAAAAGCATTCTTGCCTGTAGGGAGAGTTTTTTAATATGCCTAAATTTTATGTTCAGGTCCTGGGACATTTTCTTCTATTGATACAGAGAAAATAGTTTATTAATCATGAGGCTTGAGGAAGTGGACAAATATATAGATGACTTTTTAAGCCCATTAATTTCCAGTATAATGTGAAACTTACCGAAGTTCTTAATTAGTTTAAAAGGAAAAGTCTTTTACTTAAATATTTTACATATTCCAGTCCTTTAATTCCTTACTAGAAATATCCCCAAACTAGGTGTATATTTAAATCACTGGGATTTTATGGTGGGAAATGTTACGTAGTTTAAATAGTTCATTTAAGTGGTAGCTTCATTGTTGTATCGTGAAGAGAAACCAAAACATTAATTTCATTAGTCATTTCAAACTATCCTTTTGTTCCCCCCAAACCCGTCCTGACAAAATGCCATTGACTGACTGTTGTTTCAAGTAATTGAAAATGTCATTAGATTGGAGCTTGTGCTTGTTATTGGTGGTGTTTATTTGTATTTTTTCCCTAGTTGGAGGGGCACAATATCTTCTCTACCCTGAGCTCCAGTGAATATGAACAGGTGCTTGAGATCATCCGCAAAGCCATCATTGCCACAGACCTTGCGTTATACTTTGGAAACAGGAAACAGTTGGAAGAGATGTACCAGACCGGATCGCTAAACCTTAATAATCAATCACATAGGTAAAAATAATTTTTGAAAGTTTAGTAGCCCAGGAAGTGATTTTTGGAATAAATTTATATTTAAAAACAAAAATGTAATTTGGCATAAATTTACATTTGAAAAAAGAAATGTAAAAAGAACTTATGTGGGTTTTTTTGTTTGTTTTATGTGCACTTTATATTTACTTTGGATATTTCATTATTTTACAAGATTGCTGACAATGTATTGTGAAGGTCACTAAAATATGAATTAGAATTTAAACTGGTCACATAGGAATGGGTACCTTTAAAGGGAAGTCATTTTCCAAGAGGCCTCTCCTTGAATTTATCACAGTCCAGCGTTTGGTCATTGACCTCACAGACTCAAAAGCAAATGAAAATGGGTTCATCAGAATCCAGATCTTATTAACCAAGCCAATGTGATTGAGATATAAAACCTGAATTCCACTTTATTGATCTGCAAACATACATTCTAGTTATCAGCATCGGAATATTGGCATTCAGCGTGGTCACAAGCCTTTAGGAAGCCAAATGGCAATCGAAAGTTGGTTTGAACGTGGAGTCAGAACAGAGAGAATGAGATTCCTTCAATGTTCTAATGCATCAGGCTAAGGTAGTTTGATTCCTTTTTTTCTGAGAAGGTGTGACTTGCCCGCTGGATTCAGAAATGTGTCACGTGTTTTCATCGTGCACCTGTCCACCCATCTGTCCATTAGAGCTCAGTCCACTGGCTAAAACCCCTCTAGGCCTTGCCGGTGTGTAGGTGGTTACCACCAGCTTTTCTTTGTAGGACTTTCCTTTTGCTGTTTCCATGTCTGACTAGGTCCATCTTAAGTGATGCCGTCTTTATCTTTAGATTTGGGAACACTTGTTATTGGTTCATCCTAGTCTTGCTGAAGTTGAATCTATTCTTTTTTGCTCAGGTGCTTTGTGTACCTCCTCTGTGATCCATTAAGGTACTGATCATAACATTTCTTTCTAGAGAAATCTGCTTTCAGTTCTAAGAGGCAGTTCACTCAGGTACCCCAAACACAACACATTAGGTCTACAAATGACTAGAGACAGATACATAATAAATAAAGTTGACCTCTTCAAGAATATGATCATCAGAGTTTTTATGGGGAACCTTCTTTGAGGAAAAAAATATACATCTTAATTTTACAGAGGGCAGTCTGGACACATTGCCAGCATCCTCCCAGGGTTGGCAGAAGGGTCAGTGTCATGCAGGACAACACACCCTCTTCCACCTGCAGCCCAAGGGATGCATGTGATTTACAGTCTTCATGTGTCTGTAGAAACGGGAGTTTGTCCACAGTTCTCTTTCTTATGGCAATGATAAGACTGGAAAAATATGCGCTGGGTTAAGGTATCCTTTGGCTTGCTGAAAACTATGTGTATACATTGTTTTTAAGTTATAAATAAGAGTGATGCAAGTAGTAACAGGTTTCTTGCATATGATTTTAGCAAAATGATTACAGTAATAATATTCTTATAAAATAGAAAATTAAAAATCTAACTGCAAGTAATATTATACTTGGTGCTTAATGCATATGTACATGTTAGTGGTGTATACTGTATAGTTATGAGGATTAAATAATTTTAAAGGTGTTGCATATTTGTTTTAAGAATTCAAAGAGTGCAGGTATATACAAGAAAAACAGTAATAGAGCCGTCCGTGAGTGTTTGTTCCCAGAGCCCCTGCAGGTACCAGAATACGGGTATTACGTCCCTGGTATAAAATGGCCCTGGACGATGAATAGGGTCACTCTCCCGTCCGCACAGCACAGATGAGAGACCCGGGGGTCTGCTGGGTCCTGTTCTGCAGAACCAATAGAACCATGCATTCTCCTCTGTTTATTCTAAGCTGTTTATATGCACAAACATACATCTTTAAACAAAAACGTGATTACAGGCCTTCCTCGGTATCCACAGGGAATGTGTTCCAGGACACCACCCGCATAACAAAATCAGTGGATGTTCAAGTCTCTAAATCCCTTCGTCGGCCCTCGGCCCTCGTATCCATAGGTTCCGCCTGTACAGATTCAAGCAACATAGTACAGGATCCGAGGTCGGTTGACTCTGCAGATGCAGGACCCGCAGATAAGCAGGGCCGACGGTATACCAGATGCTTGCCTATTTTTAAGAGTTATGTGACATCACGTAGTCTGGAGGACTAGCTAAAGGCTCACTAAACCTTCCTCCTATTGATAAGATGTTTCTAGAATTTTGCACCATAAATAATTCTTCAATAAGCTCTTATAAAGTCATCTACTGTCCTTTAAAAATATATATCACATCGCATACGGTGCTAGAAATGTAGATACATGTTAAATTTTCTAAAAGGACGGTAGAAATTCACACTTCTCCTCACATAGGGTGAAAACTGTTTCTCTTTAAGTATGCCATTCTCTGACAACTCCCTGCATTAAAGATCTTTTCCTGTTTGTTGACTTTGTTCCTACGTCTGTTTGTTCACAACTTTTGTGTGTAATTTTTGTTGAATTCTTTACTTTTTTTATAAATCAGTTTGCATTCTGTATTTTTGTTAAGGATGTTAACATTTTCTCTGTTATATGTTACAAACATTTTCTTAGGTGCTTTTCAAAAGTTTTATTTAGATTTTATTTTAAATACAAAGAAATTTAATTTCATGAAGCCAAATCTTTCATTTGTTTTTATCAAATCTGGTTTCCTGTCTTGCTTATGAAGACCTCCCCTATCCTCAAAGTAATATAAAATGTACTTAAAATTTTCTTTGCATATTAATGCTTCTGGAGTTATACTTTATATGAACATAACTTTATTTCTTCCTGATGGGTTGAGTCAATACCATTTAATTAACAATCTATTTTCTTCCACTGAATTGAATTGAAGTTTCGTATAAACTCGAACACTTCTTTGGACTCCTTAAGCCATGTAATTGTTAATTATCTAATCCTCGACTGTGATCATACTGTTTTGATTATTGTAACTATGTTGAAATTTATCATACATACCTGGTAAAATAATCTTCATCTTTCATTTAATTTCCGAAAATTTCATGGAAATTTTTACTTAGTAAGTGCATTTTTTACATTTTTATAAGGAAAATTTCAAACTTAAGTAGAAATTATACTAAAATGTATACTCATACCCACATTCAAGAATTATTAACATTTTAATGTATTTTTTGCCTTTATTTTTTGACTGTGCCACTTGCTTGTAGATTATAGACGTCATGACCCTTTATTTCCCTCATAGTGAATACCTGAAAAAGAAAAAGAATATTTTATCGTGTTTGTTTTCAATTAAAAATATCCACATTGGGATTTTGTTTGCAGTTATATCGCATTTATTTCTTCACTTGTAAATGAGAGTATATTGGCTTCTCATCCAAAAGCATTGGCATGACTTTTTAGTCTTGGATAACATTTTGTATAGTTTATTTACCCAGATCCTATCATTTTTTTAGTTAAATTATACTGGTCACGTTATAAATGTTATCACTTGTGAATGTGTTTTTTCCAGTTTTTAATGGAAATACAATTTCCAGTATTAAAAAAGTTATGAATTTTTATATATTTCTCAATTTTGCTTCATGTTTTTAGAAACTTTGTTATTAGGTGCTTATACATTTGTGTATTTGTTATGTCTTCTCTATGATTTATCCTCTTGTCACTATGAAATTCTTTTTATTCTGTTAATACTTCTTGCCTTAAAGTTTTCTGTGTCTAATAGCCACACCAGCTTTCTTATGCTTACTTATTGGCATGTCATATTCTTTTCTAATCCTTTACTATTACCCTATCTGCATCCTTATATTTTAAATGTGTCTTGTAATCAGCAGTAGTTGAGACTTTCAGGGGCTGCTTCCTTTAGGACTGTCAGTTCGTTTGCCTTTAATGTAATTATATTTATGTTTGCCTCATTATCTTGTTTGTTTTCTCTTTAACCCTTTGTTCTTTGTCCTTCCTTTCCTGTCTTCATTGGAGTTAATGAAATGTTTCTTTTGTTGCTGTGTTCCATATCTTCTATTGGCTTTTATTGTTACGCTTGTATGTCTTCAAGTGATTGCTCTTGAGTTTACATGAATCTGCATTTTTCAGTCCACCTTGAATTAATATTGCTCCATTTCTGTACAATATAACAACCTTAAAAAGACAGAATCCAGTTATGCCCGTTTTGTCTTTTATGCTATTGTTGTTAAATATTATACTGCTACTTATGTTGCATACACCACCCAGGTTGCTAATACTTTAAATTAAATAGTTAATAGATTATTAAAGAATTTTTTAAAAGGAAAAAGATAATCTGTCATATTTTCTCATATATATACCATTTCCAATGCTTTGCATTCATTTGTGTAGATCCAGATTTCCGTCCGGTAATTATTTTACCTCAGTCCAGACAGCAGATTCTTTCAGCCTTAGTTTATCGCCTTTATTTTGGCTTCACTTTTCCAAGTTACTTTTGCTGGATTTAGGATTTTAAGTTGACAGGCTTTCTTTCAGCATTTTTAAAATGTTATTCGGCTGTCTTCTGGCCTCCATCTTTTTCTTTTTTCCCTGATGAGAGGTCAGCAGTCATTCTTATTGTTATTCTCCTATATGTAGCATGTCTTTTTATTCTGGTTGCTTTTAAGATGTTCTCTATATCCTTGGGTTTTCAGCACTTTGTTTATAATGTGCCTCAATGTCCTCGTATTTGTCCTTCTTGAGTTCCTCTGAGGTTTCTGGGTCTGTGGGCTGCTGATTACAGTAAAACATAGTAAAGTTTTAACCATTTTTCTTCAAATATTTTTTTCTGTCAACCCGTCATTTTTCTTCTGCAACTCTAATTACACATATGATAGATCACTTAATACTGTCTTACAGGTTATTAGGGCTCTGAACTGTTTATTCAGTCATTTTTCCTCCCTGAGCCTCCCTGGGTAATTTGGTATGATTCGCCTTTAATTTCAATGATCCTTTCTAATGTTCTCTCCAATCTGTTGTCCATTCCATCCAGTGTTTTATTTTATAGATTGTGTTTGTCATTTCTGA